CACCTCTCCATTGCAAAGGCCTACAGATATTTGTGTTCTTTTACAAGTGTGGTCAGTTTTGGATATATATCATATCTGTTTCCTCTGATGGAAGGTGTTGCAGGTAGTGGTAGCTTAAGAGCCAGTTTGCTGGATCCAGATCAAGCTCTGTCCACTGAAGCATTCTGTTGCCAAAGTGGTCAGCTTTTGGGAATTCCAACAAGCAGAGTGTTAAAGGAATGTGCATTCCCCATGTCTGGTATTCTGTCTTCATCTTTGGAGATTTTATTTATTTAGCATTCCTAGTTAAACCATCTAAATGCAATGGAAAGATACGTATTTACAAAATTAAAAGTGCCAACTGTTTTTTAACATACATCTCTAAATGATGCCTTTAGCTTAGACTGAAGCAGGTAATGACATGGGGCCAAGATACGGATGTGAATGAGAAGAAAAGTTTAAGAATAAAGCATTAACTTCGGAACAGATTAGGGCGAGACTGTACTTTGACTACATGCCCAGGAGCACAAGTCTGAGACTGAGGAATTGACCACTTTCTAAATTTTTATGGTAACTCTGTTATCCAAAGATGGCCCTACTGTGCCTCTCAAAAGCACAGGAGAATCTTAAAAAAAAATATAGGCACGTGTGAGCTTCATCCACTAAATCAGAGGTGTTTGTAGATACCTGAGGGATCATAATTAGGCTCTTTGTTTTAGCGCTCCAGCATAGCACGACTTCCATCTAATTTGATCTCTTTATCTTGGCAGGTAGTATCTGCTGCTCGTATCCTTCTAAGGAACCCTGGAAATCAAGCTGCATATGAGCACTTTGAGACCATGAAGAACCAGTGGATTGATAATGTGGAAAAAATGACAGGTAAAATATACAACATAAGCACTGAGCAGACATCTCTAGGGAAAGGATTTTGAAGCTAGGTGATTTTCAATGAGCTGTCATCTGTGTTTTCATCTCAAATGCCTCTTGGTACAGCTGCCAAATTATAGTCATGCCATTTGGACCTTTATTTCAATCACCAGCGCAGAAGAATCATGCCTATATTTGAATGCATTTTGTATTTTGCTAAGAAGAAATGGGGCATATCCTTTTATACATTAAAGTCCCTCTATGCTTCTATGCAGTAACGGGTTGTTTTACTATGAAACTAGTTTACTAGAATTCTAGTCTTCTACTCCCTGCAGTATGAAAACGTATTCATAACTATATCCATGCCCAATGTCTGCTTGGAGATTGCTTACATGCAAAGTTCAAGTTGTGAGAATAACTGTTTGATAAAGTTTTGGTTGTGTGCCAGTTGTGCCAGCATCTTGCCAAATAGCTGCAGCTGCTTCTGTGACATTAGTTCCATCCATGGTGCAACCCAAGAGGATGATGGCCAAAATAAGTAAACAAATTGATGTTTAACAGTATTTTAGAATTTGAGGGGTTGCAAATCCTCTGGTGGCAACAGGAGAAGGATAGATGAGAAGAGCCAAATGTCTCAAGGATTAAAATTCTGCCCAGCCAGGCTATATTTTGCCATATTAACAAAACTCCAACCAGCTTGGTGCTGAACAGCATGGAGTATGAAGTAGATGCAAGGGAGATGTCCCTCTCAAGTGCTGCTGTTCATAGCCCTGGATATAATGGGATGTAACATGCCTCCAGGTCTTGTCGATGAAGCAATCGATACCAAGTCTTTGCTGGATGCCTCCGAGGAAGCCATTAAGAAAGACTTGGACAAATGCAAAGTGGCCATGGCAAACATTCAACCACAGATGCTGGTCGCAGGGGCCACCAGCATTGCCCGGCGTGCAAATCGGATTCTGTTGGTAGCAAAGAAGGAAGTGGAAAACTCAGAGGATCCGAAATTCCGTGAAGCTGTGAAAGCTGCCTCTGATGACCTGAGCAAAACCATCTCACCCATGGTGATGGATGCGAAAGCTGTGGCGGGCAACATTTCTGATCCTGGTAAGCAGGAAATCTGCTTTACCCATTTGCTCAGTTAATGAGGAGATGGGCTGAAGAGAACACAAATGGACTGATACAAGGGGATGCAAGAGAAATTTCATTTCTTAGATTAAATGCAATGAAAAGGGACATTGGTCACTTTAATCTTGTGAATGTCCTTGCACTTTCTTAACATTTATCTCACAGCTTCTTGCCTCACTTCTTAGCTGGTCTTTTATTACTCTGACCAGAAAATGCTTGCTTTGTAACATAGCAGATGTTGCGGCTTGGAAAGTGTGGCATTTGGTTTGGTGTTGTGTCTTTCCAGGTTTCAGCCTGACCGACTTGCACTCTTCAGCCTGTCATAACAGTACAAGAGGTAGTCCGTTTGAAGGTGGGGAATGCTAGTTGGTACTAACAGTTTCTACTCAGTGAAAAATACTTCAGCCTAAAATTCAGTAGTAGTCACCACAAGAAATTATTTTTTTTCAAGATTTAAAAAATTTTTTTGACCTGTTGAATGATGCTGCTGCATGGGTAAGGCGATACTTGTGTAATTCTTATTGACTTTATGTAAAAATATCTAGGACATTTTCACTGGATCAAAATAAAGGCCTTTTCCCTTCACTTTTCCAGGTTTGCAGAAGAACTTCCTGGATTCTGGGTACAGGATTCTCGGAGCTGTGGCCAAAGTCCGAGAAGCTTTCCAGCCCCAGGAACCTGACTTCCCTCCTCCTCCCCCTGACCTTGACCAACTTCATGTAAGTCCTACATCACTGTCTTAGTTAAGTGGATTTGCTGCTGAAGGAGAGGGAGAACATGCAGGAATTTGACTGGACTGGTTTCAATTTAAAAAATGTATATAAAGGAGATTCCTCCAATAATTGTTAATCAAATGGTAATTTTATAGGATATTTAAAGGAATAAGCCATATTCCTAAGTGAGTATTTTGAGCATCATCATTTTGCTAAATGTTGGAACAGTGATCCGCTTGAATTTGACGTGTGTCCAATGAAAGCAAGGAAAATCCCATTGTGTGGGTTGCTGTACATCTGGCAGTGGTACTGCTGTGCTGGTGTGATGGAATCCATTTCCTATTCTTTCTTAGCTCACTGATGAATTTGCTCCTCCAAAACCACCTCTGCCAGAGGGTGAGGTTCCTCCTCCCCGACCTCCTCCTCCAGAGGAAAAAGATGAAGAGTTCCCGGAACAGAAGGCTGGCGAGGTGCTGAACCAGCCCATGATGATGGCTGCTAGGCAGCTCCATGATGAAGCCAGGAAGTGGTCCAGCAAGGTAAGAAGTGTTGATGTCACCTGAGGGTTAATCATTAACTTGCTGCTTCTCTGTTAACTCAAGGCTATATTTTGTGATCAGTCCAAACCTTATATAAGGTAGCATCACTTCCATACAGAATAATGCAAGCCAAAAAAGGGTGTGTGGGTCTAGAAACAACTAAAGGACTTAAAAGGTTTTATTTGGCACAGTATGTTGGACTAGATCTGATGAACTAGTCAACAAAACTTTATGTCAGCTATAACTGGTGAATCTTTAAAGTTGCTACTAGATACTTAGTCTGCTGAAATAACAACAAAAAACACAGCTACTCCTTGGAGGTATTGGAAGAAGGTTCAAGTAGCAGTGCCACTTTATTTATTGTGAGAGATGATTCAATAATAGATTCAAAGTGTTGGTTAGACGAATGAAGAAATGTGACAAAGCTGTGACCAGATCTGGATGCTGAAAAGACTATTTTTAGTCCCGGAAGTTATTATGGATCATCAATAGCCTTTTGTTCTCAGCAGTGGAATTGTTGTCATTGTCACTGTTCTGGTATTTTCTACCGGTAATTCATTTGTTCTTAATGTGTTTGTCTAATACTAATGGTGCAATTTAAGGTATAAAAGTACTGATGTGCTGCCATATTAGTGTAACATTTTGTAATACAATAATGATACAAAAATACCATGTATGTCAGAACAAGAGTAAGCCAATTGGGGAGATATGTGAGAAAAGAATGATCTCTATGCAGTAAACTGAGAAAATACAAAGCTTTATTCCACGAGAGCATTTTTCAATGACGCTTGGTGGTGGTGCAAGTTAGAAAAATGGAGCCCTAGAATTGTCTTGATGCTTTCTGGGGCAAACTGTAGCCTGCTTAGGGACTTTGGCCTCCATTCTGGGCCGTTTTCCACAAACCTTGTGCTGCTGTGATGAAAAAACAGAAGAGTAGACACAGGAATGTGATGCCTAGAGTGGCATTGGTTTGCTGGCAGCCCAGTGCACATGAGCTCTAGCTATAGAGACTGTTGCCCAGAGCAACACAGGAATGACACCTTAGGTCAGGGTGTACAACTGCTTTTTCTGCTCAGGGACATTTCTCAACAGTAGACTGAGCAGAAGCCAGTCATGGACCCAAATAAGGCCAAAAGTACTACAACTTTTGACTCCCTCTCTCTTTGTCATCCCTTGTTCTCCTTCTCTTCCTTCTTACCTCATGGATTGCTGGAAAAAGGGACTGGTCACTGTAATGAAGTAATGAACTGATCCCATCCATAAGGTTTTTGAAAAGAATCCAAGAGCTGAATGAGATCAGGTTGATTGCTGCCAATTACTCGCCCCTGTTTCAGTTGTTAGAGTGAGCATACACCTGCTAGCCTTCTTGCCAGCCTTTTTTTTTTTTTGCATTACATTATGTTGTGGTGGAAAAAAGGTGTGGGAGGCTGCACAATGGGATGGCAACCAGAGCGAATGCTTTTTCCTTTTGCCTCAGTGCACTGACAGGTGTGGCTGGTGTGTGTGTGTGTGTGTGAGTGTACGAGAGTGAGAGAGAGAGAGAGAGAGAGAGAGAGAGAGAACAAGAATGGGGAGGTGAGTGATGGATTACTGATGCATATGTTTGTGTGTATGGGTTGTGGGTGCACTTATGTTTGCAAGAGAAAGAAAATGCAGGAAGAGATAGGGAGATGATGGGGCCATCCTGATCTGTTTTGGATTTGCTCCTTCCTACCACCAGCCTCAGCCCTTTTCAACACAGTATGATGGTCCCCTCAATATGGCATCAAAAAGGGTGTCCTACTCTCATTGTTGTGCTTTGAAAATGGGGTAGTGTATCCATAAAACATAACACTCTCCTCCTCCTTTTGTATTTCATGTGTCTGCTATAAGGTTGGTTCTTTAGATGTAACTCTGGATAGAAATTCTAATCTGATTAAGAAGATCATGGAAGTTTTTAATATTCCTTCCAATGTTTTAGTCCTTGTTAAATGGAACTTCAAAAACTTCATTTTTAAAAGACCATAGTTGTTTGAAAACCATCATGATTCATGGATTTCATGCCCTGTGCAAGAAGTCCTTCACATATAGCTAGACATTGTATTAGCAACTGTTACTCAAAACGAAGTTGGGAAACCTCACTGTTCTTGTTTCTTTTGCTTAATGTCTTCTGACATTAAGAATGTACGTAAATGCTTACTGGTTGAAGTGCTCTTGCCTAGTTATGCTGGTGTAACAAGCTTCTGGAGATGAATTGCATTCAGTTAAGAAATCATTGTAGACATCCTCTATGGTGTGACTCAGCATGTAGCTTGATAATGACTATGGTATTCCTTGTTAACATTTTTGGTGTAATTTTTAGCAACGCAAAACGGAATTCAGGCTATACTAGTAAGAGTAGAATTTCCTGAAGAAAACAATCCTGAAATAAATACGTACCAGTGAATCTCAGTATTGTGCTTATGAAGATTAGATGTCTGTGGGAAACAATACAATTAAAATACTGATTTTAAATCTTTCACTATACGTGTCAAAATTCGTATCATCAAGATGTTAAAAGTGAATTTGTAATATTAGGTAAATGAATGAAAACCAGAAGTAGAAGAAAACTGATGACTTGACTGCAGCCCATGGTTAATTGTGCTCAGGGGGACAGTTTCTGCAATGCCCCCCATCCAAAACATGGTTGTCACAGAAACAAAGGAGTTGGTCTTGTAAAATCTAAAGAAAACAGATAGTTAACAAAGGAATCTTGCTTTCTTAACAAGGTAGGAAAAACTTTCCTTTTGAAGCTCCTGGTATAATTGGAATCAATTTTTCCGTAGCTTGTGTCAGCCACTGGGTCTGACAGGTACAAGTGCGTACACCAAGGGGCTATGAAAAGGGAGGTGTGCTTTGTGCAGATCTCAAAACTATGGTTTCATTTGTACAATCCTCTCTTTAATGCTCTTGCGTAGACCTTATGAAATGGTTTCAATTGTACAAATGCTTCTTAATGCTCTTTACTTTTTCTTTTCTTCCTGAAGTCTTTGTTGAACGGTGAACTGACGGTTTTGTCTCCTTCACTTGCTTTCCCTGTCCAGTGTTTACCTTTGCTGGGTTGTAGACAACATCACGTTTAGCTGTGGTGCACTCACAGATAATGAGGGAAGAGTCAATCAGTGTACTCTGAAAAACTCTGCAGAATTTGGAAACGTGTAGAATTCTTCACACGGCAGTGTAGAATAAGTAGCACTAAAGATCTTATAAAGATGGTACAGTTATTTTTAGTTATTGGATAGAGTTTGGTTTGACCACTTAGTATAGGGGACCTCAGTGTACAGTCAATTCAAATGAGCCAAGAAACAAGATTTTTAAATGGATTTATTCGACATACTTAGCAAACCCATATACATCTTCATCTTCAGGCTCTTCTCACAGATGTTCTCCACCTATGTTTATGTTTTAAAATAACATTAAAGGGAGTGGTTATGTTGGGAGAGAGCGTTCCTCAGTGGTAATAAGCTCTTTCCTGTTATTGCTTTGTAACTTAGCATATGGTGCAGGTGGCTAAAAGAAGGAGTTGGCCACTTGGCGCTTGTTAACAGGCATGGCCATCAAAAGCTGCACCAGATTTATTTGGGAGCATGCCAGTATAGTATTTATTGAAATGGTTAACACCCAACTCGGGAAGAGGGAGCTAGGAACATATGAAAAATTCCGAAAGTTGACGCAAGGACAGAGACCGTTCAAGAAAAAATGAATTTATGACAGTTGTGTTGGTCTGGTTGCATTGTTAGGTTACTGATAAATGTGGAGTTTGTTTGCCAATATTTCCTCTCTTTTCCCCCTGAAATGGTTCGATTCCATGGAGTTTGGCTACAATAATACTGAGCTGTTGTGTTTTTAGATGCTTCCATTCCACAGGATGTGAATCAGGATGCTGAAGCAAATGACTCAAAATCCTTATTTGGATTTTTGTAGGACAACATTGTGGCAAAACAATCTGGCTCCATCTCATTAACCTTCTGCTAACAGAAACATTCAGATTAGCTTTGTTGCCTGCCATTAACATATCTCTCTCTCTCTCTCTCTGATGATTAACATGCTGATAATATCCTTTAATAAGCAGGCTTTCCTCTAATATCCATCATCCCTTTCCCTTTTTCTGCTTTCTCTCCCTTTCTGCATTGTGTTTTGCTCTTAATAACTTGCCTTTTTCATTGCTGGCCCAAGACATCTTGGTGCCTGAGGGAGAGAATCCAAATGGCATCTTTCTCCCATCTTTCTTCATTACCCTAATGAACATGGAGCACAATTTGCTAGTAGGTTTTCCTGTGCCTAACCTCGTTAAAATGAACAGGAGCTCTTGTAGATGAGAGAGCAATGCACGGTCATGTGCTGCTTCCCTTCGTTTTAGCGAGGTGTCTGCAGGATCGGTGCCCGGTGCTCTGTCACTCACACCCTTGCCAGCACCCACCACTTGCCTCTGAGTTGGCTGCTTTAGCTTGTCTTGTGGTAGGTCCTCCTGTGACCTTGACATCTCTCCAGGGAACAGAAAGCAGCACCTGGCGCTCCTATTCCCTGGCAGCTTCCTAGGCACTTGATCCACAGCATTAAAGCTTTCATCTTGCATCTCTAAGTAATCTTTATGTGTTTTGCTTGCTTTGGTTTTTCCTCCCGCTGATGCTATTGTCTTGCCAGAAGAGAATGTTGCCATGAAATATGAGACATTTAGAAATGTGTATCAGTTTGTTTTCTGAAACATTGCTCTTCTCTCCCTGAAAGATGTTGCAGATTTTCAGAGGCAGTGTTTTCCCCCTGGAATGATGTTCACCCTGCTCCTCCAAATCCTCCCGTTGCCTACTAGAACAAGACATTTACTAAACCAGGCTCAGTTCTTGCTTTTTGATCAGATTCCTGCTTTTTTTGTGCTAACTCTCCCTGTTTCTTCATCCTCCTTGCTCCCTGCACCTGCAAAGCCTGATGTGACTGATGAGGTTAAGGAAGCCCCTGAGGCTGATATAGATGTAGATCAGGAGGAGGAGGAGGAGGAAGCAGATGTTGAATTCACTCTCCCCTCTGACATTGAAGATGATTACGAGCCTGAGCTGCTGTTAATGCCTACCAACCAACCTGTTAACCAGCCCATTCTGGCCGCTGCTCAGTCTCTGCACCGGGAAGCCACCAAGTGGTCTAGTAAGGTACTTCCTCCATTTTCCCCCCTGGCGACTGATCCGTGTTGCATCCAGCCATTTTGGAACGTTGACACATTTGCATCACTCTTGATCCGTGCCGGGTCCCATTGCCTTTTCTTTTTCCTTCTTTTCTTTGAATTGGAATGAATTCAGATTTGTCTGCATTTCATTGTTGAGGATTGAGAGTGGCTTCACAAGTTCTGTTAGGCCTGTCAGCGGCCAGGCTAAAGCTTCATTCGGCTCATCACCTTCTGCCCTGACCCTCCTTCTTTTAATGAGGCTCCCTTTTCCTGTGGTCTTTTGCCTCACCTGTCTCTTCAATGGCAGTGGTTATCGAAAAGGAAAGAGAAAACAAAAATGAACAGTTCTGACTACCTGTGAAGCCATGGTTGACAGTCTCTCAGTAACTTCCAGAGTATAAGAGAGTCGTTTTTCGTCATTCCCAAAGTCATTTAACACGCATCGTTGTGCTTTCTGCCTCTCTTTATCAACAGCTTCCACTAAAATGTCAGAGGGACAAGGAATGGCTTTGTATGGCGGTGTTGCCAAGGAGTTGGATCTGCTGATGTGCACCTGGCTGTATTGTTAAAGGCTGGCTGTTGTGAGAAGACTTTTGTTGAGAGGCTATGCTGAATGTGTTCGTTTCTAAGTTCAGACTTTGGTGTGTGGTGGGGGTTATATGCGTGTCTCACTGTTGTGTTAATGGAAATCTCTGACCAGCGTCTCATTCAGAAGTTGGCTTGGTAGCACTAAACACAAGTGTTAGTTTGCAAAGCTGTTGGATCACTTTTTCACTTTTGGTACTGCATGCTGCAAAAAGTTTGTGGCTGTGCAGCTATTAAGATTTACGTTGCGTACATGTGTAGGAAAGCTTGAATCAAATCAGATTTTTTTACTTTCTTTCTTGCCTCTCCAGATACTGTGTATCATCTAGATCTGGTCTTGGGTACAATATCCCAGTTAGATTTCCCCAGGTGCAAATTAAAATGAAGTATAATCCAGTGCTAGGTTCTCCTGTGCAGGTCCCACTGAAATGGAGGAGAAAACTTCCCTTTGTATCAAGTGGAACTTTAGTGCCTGAAAAGATGCCACTGTACTTGGCCTCTTAGATTAGATCTCTCTCTCCCTCCCTCTCCCTTCCTCCCTTTAATGGCATGCAAAATGCAGTTGCTGACACTTGACTCCTATTGCAATTGCCTCTGTCATCTGAGCTGCTTTATTCCCTCTTTAGGAATCAGTTGAGAAAATGCTTGACCTGGTCCTTCCTGTCCGTGGGAGCTGGCACACTGCTCTTAAGAGTTGCTTGACATACTGCTTAGCAGCAAACACACGTTTGCCATCTTCACTTGGCAGGCACAGGGTGACAATATATAATGTGTATGGTGGCACATTCATGCTTGCCCTGCATCTATTATATTTGTCCACCTGTCTGTATGCATACAGTATTTTCTGTGTACCGGTTAAAAATAATGTTCTGAACAGGCCTTAGTGGTCCTGAGATGTGGCTCTTGAGAAATTTTGTGTCTCCACAACCTCTGGTCACTTGCATACAAATAAAGCTTGGAAGTATGTCTCTGAGGAGCATGAGCACAACTATCGCTGGCATGCAAAGTAATCTCTTAATTGCATGCAAGCGATTATACCTCGGACACGCTTTCTACTTTCACCTGTGAGGTCAACGTGGCATATTAACTCAGCATTTTACCCAAAATTTCAAAACAAATGGTATCATTATTAAAAATCTAGAGATGAATTTACATTGACCCTGTTGATGCTAACTTGTTTCGAAGAGAGCAGGAATGCACAGTAAAGGAGAGGTGTAGTTCCCCTACACTTAGACCAGCCCCCTGTTGGAGGATTGCCCTCTGCACTCCACAACCCCCACAGCCCCCCACCCCATCTGTTTCCTGCCAACTTCGTACAGTTTTTCCCTCCTGCTTACTCTCCCAGAGGTCCTCATATAGGTGCCCTTTTCGGTGCTAGGAGGGGAGATGGAGGGATCCCACTCCTGGAAGCAAAGAGGACTGCTGGTGTGACCCAAGTTAGTCTCACATGTCGTTCTCAAGGCTGAAAATGTTGTGTGCATTCCTGAATTAGAGGGTGAATTAGTGCCAGTGGCTGGAATACAGCTGAATAATTACATTGCTATCAGTCCATCAGTATAAATGTCAGTGGTGACTTGCCACTAGTTAAGATATGGCTCTTCATTTTTCCTGTTGCGCACCAAGTTATGTGACTGATTATAGACTCAAGATGGCAGATGTGAATAATAGGATTTTGGCCAATATATGTAATCCCTTGTTAAATAAACTGCTTTCAGAACAGGGACTGATTAAGATTGGATTAAAAATTCAAAGCTTAATTTGTTTGCTGCATTTGGGCATCATGAAAAACCATGACTTATTGTGATGGGAGCAAGTCACAAAGAGCATTTGGCTTGTGTGCTTCCCAACTGCAAGGAGAAGATAGAGAGCTTTTACTTGAATTAACCAGAGCTTGCTGCCAAATGGTTGGAATCTGACCGATCCTAACTGTAGTTTGCCTGAAACAAGCCAGTTTCAACAAAGCATGGTTTATCGTGATAGCTGAATGTACACAATACCTTTTCTCAGGGAAGAACAGTTTTGTTTCAAGAGGAAAGACAGGGTGGTGATTCTTCTAATTAGGCGGTTGAAAGAAATGAAAGATGAAAAAAATCTTACTCAGTATAAATAAATTATGTGTATTGATTAGCCAATTACAGTGGTGCCCCGCATAGCGATGTAAATCCGTTCCGGATTAATCGTCGCTATGCAAAAACATCACTAAACGGATCGAAAAACCCCATAGGAACGCATTAAACTTAGTTTAATGTGTTCCTATGGGGTGCAAAAAACCCTGTTCAGCGAAGTTCCTCCATAGCGCCACCTTTTTCATGCCCTCGGTAAGTGAGGGCAGGGTGCGAAAACACTTACGGCGGCCATTTTCGGCACTTGGCGGCCATTTTAGAACTGCTGATCAGCTATTCTGTAAACATCGCAATGCAAAGATCGGTAAGCGAAACACCGATCATCACAATGCGAGTTTTTGCCTATCTAAACGTTGCAATGCGACCGCAAAAGCGATCGCAAAAGCGACATCGCTATGCGGATTCATTGTTAAACGGTGCGCGCGTTAAGCGAGGCACCACTGTAATGGATGCAATCTGCAGATGTTTGCATATGAAAAAGAATGATTGTGAGGACTCCTTTTCGTTGTGTTTCAGTGATGTGTGCACATTCTGCCACAAGTCCCATCCCAGAAGAGGCTTTCCATTTGACCCAAAAGGAGGAATGCCAATTCTGAGATGCCTTCTTCCTCTCTCTCTTTTTCTTTCCAAAATCCAGTATTAGAAATAATCAACAGTTAAGAAAATCCCTTCCCAGTATTACCTTTTGGTCAAATTGACCAAATAAATAGAATGTTGCAACATTCACCTTTTCAAGACACCTTTTAAATACAGAGCAACAGTATAACTCATCAGTTTCCGTCCAGTTTGGATGCCCCATGTCCATTCCTATTTGCTGCTAAAATGTTCGCCACTGTTAACAGGATGCTTTAATCATTGTTTAAGACATCTTCATGCACCCTTCTTGGAATGATAGACTCCTAAATGATAAAAGGTTACAATGTCTGAACTTGGTCACTTTCACTTCAGCAACAAAACTAACACTCTGTGTGTCCACGACAGCTGTTTTTTTCCTGGCCGAAGCTTGATTTCACGGAATTTGGGGAAAGAAAATATCTCACCGCTGGCCGTTGTGCAAAGATCTTCCATGCTCTTTGTGGAGCGATGACTGCACTGCATCGAACATCTCACTTCCTTGAGGGCTTGCTTACAGAATGTGGGTAACTGCTTGGGCAGGTGCCTTGGTCCCAAGCTTTTATAACTGTTCCTGTTTTCTTTCAGGGCAATGATATAATTGCTGCTGCCAAGCGGATGGCCCTTCTGATGGCTGAGATGTCACGCTTGGTAAGAGGCGGTAGTGGGAATAAACGAGCGCTCATCCAGTGTGCCAAGGATATAGCGAAAGCTTCAGATGAAGTAACAAGATTGGCCAAGGAGGTGGCAAAACAATGCACTGACAAGCGCATCAGAACAAACCTGTTGCAGGTAGGTGGTGAAGGAGACACGGGACTCTGGATTGCCATTGATCCATTTCAGGTGGTGATCAGTCTCGGGTCTCGGGTCTCATGCTCACCAAGAGTACTTTGTTCAGTCCTGCGTGCCATAGCTTTAAAAAAAAATGGACAAGCTGGAACATGTCCACAGAATGATGGCCAAGATACTGAAGGGTCTGGAAAGCAGGGCCTGTGAGGAATGGTTAAGGGAATTAGACACGTTTTACTTTGGAGAAGAGAAGATTTAAAGGTTTATATGCTAGTTATCTTTATACAGTGGTGCCTCGCTAGACAGTTACCCCACATGACAGTTTTTTCTCTAGACATTGATTTTTTGCGATTGCTATAGTGATTTGCAAAACAGTGATTCCTACAGGGGAATTTCGCTGAACAATGTTTGGTCCCTGCTTCACAATTTTCGCTAGACAACGATTTTGACAGCTCCTTCCGCGCTTGCAAAATGGGTGTTTTCAGGACCTAAGCTTCGCAAGACAGCTATTTAAACAGCTGATCGGCTGTTCGCAAAGCGGGTTTCCTGTGGCCGATCTTCGCTAGACAGCGATGATTCTTCCCAATTGGAACGCATTAAACAGGTTTCAATGCATTCCAATGGGGAAATGCTTTTCGCTCGACAATGATTTCGCTAAACAGAGATTTCAGTGGAACGGATTATCATCGTATAGTGAGGTGCAACTGTATAGCTATGTGAAGGGCTGCCAGACGGAAGGTGGCGCAAGCTTGTTTTCTATTGCTTTGAAACACACGACCTGAACCCATACATTTAGATAACAAGAAAGGAGATTCCAGTTAAACATTAGAAAGAATGTCCTGATGAAGAGAGCAGGTCAGTAGTGGAACAGACTGCACTGGAAGGTTGTAGACTGTCTTGTCATTGGAGGCTTTAAACAGAGGTTGGATAATGATTTTTCAAGGATGCATTAGCCTGAATTTTGTGCCTCAACAAAGGCTGGAATAGATGGAACAGATGACCCTTGGTATTCCTTCTAGCCCTGCCATTCTGTGTATAAGTAGAGGCATGTAATAACAAACCACCTCCTCAGGCAGCCTTTTAATAACCATGATTGAATCCCTGGATGCAGTTCTGCCCCCCCCACTAAGTCTATTAAAAGTTTAAGACCCTTTTAATAGATTTTAAATTATTGTTGCACATTTAATTGTTTCTAACGTAATTTATTGTTACTTTCTTTAACAATGTGAGCTGCCTTGGATCCTCTCACGAGGAGAAAGGTGTCCCACAAAGGACACAGTCAGCGAAATCAAATGATACAAATCTGTAGAGCAGGGTTTGTGACAGAAAATTTGAAATGGGGAGATCCTTTCATAAAGTTAATTCCAGTACAGTCCACAGGTTTTTGAGAAAATGGATGTCAGACACTTTTTTTCCCCTGCCACTGAAGTATGCTGCTACATTTTTTTTTCTCCAGAGAAAAATCATGGCTGCCTTGAGATGAGTGGTCCTGTTCATAAGGAAAATTAATCATGTCCTGTTTATGCTCACAACTTTGCTATTTTTAAATAGGCTCTTGGGAGGGATCATGTGCCTGAAGAGCAATGATAGAATTATATTTAGAAGGAAGCCCAGTTGATTCTTTGACCAGGCTTTGTATTCTCTTTTTTTTACACAGGTCTGTGAACGCATCCCAACCATAAGTACCCAGCTGAAAATCCTCTCTACTGTCAAAGCGACCATGTTGGGCCGGACTAATATCAGCGATGAGGAGTCTGAACAGGTAACATTCCTGAGTGGGGGGGTTGGTGGGATATGGGTGGGGACTTTGGCCGAACAAATTTCTCTCTTGCAGGAAGATGGCAAATGTTCTCTAACAGCAGTGCCTCCTTTTGGCTCATGTTAAAAGCTGAAGGCGGTTCTTTGACTTTGATTGGGCAGTCATTAAAAAGAGGGGCTCATGGGTATGCTCATTGGCCAGGACGTCCTGAATCAAATGTACTGAATGATTCCCCCCCCAACCCACCTCCCAAGTCTTTTTTGAAAAAAGGGAAGGACCAGCCTTCAAAATCAAACTCTAGAGAAAACCCACATCTTTAGCAGGTCTTATAGGAGGCATGTGGCCCGCCTGCTGTTGCTTATCTTAAGCTCCCACCAGCTGCGGGCAGTATGGGGTGCGGGTGGGAGGAATAGGAGGCATGTGGCCCGCCTGCTGTTGCATTCACTACCCAGACCTGTCTGTCCTTGTCAGAGAGCTGGGGCCAGGATTGCTTTTGGTTGAGGGCGCAATCAGTGGAAAATTGCTTTTTTTTTCTTTTTCTTGGGGGGGGGGTGTCCTGCATTCACTACCCAGTCCTGTCTGTCCTTGTCAGAGAGCTGGGACCAGGATTGCTTTTGGTTGAGGGCATAATCAGTGGGAAATTGCTTTTTTTCCTTTTTTCTGGCTGGGCAGTGTGCCATAACCAATTATAGTTTATGATATAAAGGCTAATCGAGCTTGGTTTAATAAGGTAATAACATTTTCAGCTGGTGTTTAATGTTATTCGCTAGCACCCCCTGGTGGGTTAAAAAAAGTACTTTGGAAGTGGCCAGTTCCCTCACCCCTACCCCAGAATGCACCAGATCTGTTGTTGGTTTTCATGTGAATGAAAGGGGATGCTATTTAAATCATGTCTTGCTATCTTTTGTGGTAGTCAGTGATCTTGAACTTCTCTTTTTATTGTTTCTATCAGATTGTGGTGCAGAATGCAGTGGCCAGACTCCTTACTGGAGTGAGAAAACACCAACATATTTCTCCTTTTCTGGCCATGCTGCACTGGCTGCCCATCCGTTTCTGCATTGAATTCAAAGTTCTAATGCTTACCTATAAGGCCCTAAATGGTTTAGGACCTCGATACTTGGAGGAGCACCTGCTCCAACCAAGATCTGCTCGGATCACCCGCACAAGCCAGGAGGTGAGGCTGAGGAGCCTGACGCCGAAGGAGGCCCGGAGGGAAAAGACTTGAAGCTGGGCCTTCTCGGCGGTGGCTCCTCGCCTTTGGAACAACCTTCCTCCGAAGATTTGCGAGGCCCCTACGCTGGCTACTTTCAAATGCCAGCTGAAAACATGGATGTACATCCAGGCCTTCCCTCCTATCAACTACTGATTTCTTTTGCTTTGCCATTTATTATTTATTTATTCCTGCACTATTTGTTATTGTTGTATGCTAATGTTCTTTAATTATTTTGATATTCTGTAAGCCACTCAGAGTGGTAGAATACACCAGATGGGTGGGATATAAATCGAACAAACAAATAAATAAATAAATTGATTTGCCATCAGAAAAAAAGATGTTGAGATGGCCACTGGTGTTAAAAAGGGACTGGATACATTCCTGGAGGATTAGCTAAAGATACTTCTTAATAGTACCTCTGGTGGGAGGCAAACAGGTGGAGGGACTGCTGCACCAAGTGTTACCTGGGGGCTGGCCACCTTTAGGATACAGGATGTTGAAACAGATGGGCCTTATGCTTTTCTCATCCACATTTTTTCCTTTAAAGGATAGAGGTAGAAAGTCATCTCTTAAGACTATAACCCCCAGAATCCCTGGGTTCTGGCTATAAAAAAAAAGAAACTAAGAATGTGTGTTTATAGGAAGAGCTCGTGACAGAGTCCAAATAAGTCTGGCTGTTTCCAAAATCTGAAAATGGAATCTAGATGTGCAGACACTTGTTTGTACCTGTAGCTGCTGTCTTCCAGGATAATCTCTGCACACCTGCAGGTAGATGGAGTGTTATTCTTTTCGAGTGATGCGTATAGGCATCCATAGCAAAGCAGCCATGAAACCTTCACTTGTTAAAAAACGTTTTTGTAGATATACGGTATTTAGGATTTTCAAGGGCATAAATATCTGAGAACATTGGGAGACTAAGGAGAAGATTCCATTAAAATTAAAACAATCAGGTTTCTTATACCAATAATGTCAGAGTTTTGCCCTCTGCTTGCAATTTCAGCTGCATTATTGGGGGTTGTTCTAGTGCATGCCTAGGATAAGCCAGGTCGTCTTTCCTACCTAATATTTAATTTGAAAAGACAGATAATGCTTCTCCAAAGACATGTTTTAGAGCACACACTCTCCTCTCTCTCTTGCAGGCCACTGAGATGTTGGTTCACAATGCCCAGAACCTCATGCAGTCTGTCAAGGAGACAGTTCGAGAAGCTGAGGCCGCCTCTATTAAGATCAGAACAGATGCTGGATTCACTCTACGCTGGGTCAGAAAAACACCCTGGTACCAGTAAAAAACAAGCAAACAAAAAAACCCCTCCTTCTTCTGAAAGTGTTGTCCTTTTTTATATATAAAATCCCTTGCGAAGCAAAGAGAATTTTGTAAACAGCCAGATGGTGCTGCAAAGATTAAAACTAGCCCATTTCAAGGGCTTTAACAGTATGTTGAGCTACCTTTGGTATCTAACCTCACCATAGTTAATTTCCAAAACGGTGACTACTTTTTCCCTTGCTTTTGACGGTTTTTTAGTATGTGTTTCCATGAACACTATAATTTTAGTTTCCTCTTCCCCATTATGCAGTGTATATTCCAGTGGTTTCTATGCAAGGCAATACATGAAGATTTCACTTGAGCATTGATTGAAACTCTGGGACACACTTGGTTTGCTTAGCTGTTATTTGTGAGGGACAATCAGAAAACAAGTAGTCCAGCATTTCAGTCTTCTCTTCCTTTTTCTAACCCCTTCCAAAAAAGTGTGTTCCTAACTTTGATTTCCTACAAAAACCTTTCCTTGCTGAAAACCTTTTACCTTCCCCCACTCCTAATAATATTTCAAGTATCAAAATCAGGGAATTATCTTTTTAATGCCTACCAACTTCAGTTCGGCAAGCTGTGATGATAGGACTGTTTAGTAAAGGTTGTTTAGAAGATTTGTTTTGCCAGGAGGTGGGTTATCAGGCATCAAGGAAGAGAGCACCCAGCCTTCCTGTGTGTCTCACCTTAATAAAGAACAGTTGCTAGGTGAAGAAGTTTTTTGAGCATTAAGGCTTTTTCTACACATTAGAAGGGCTGCTGCTTGTCCTCCCTGTCCTTCCGATTGTTCTTGTTTAAGGAAGTACGGTTTTGGAATTTTTCTGCCCTGCTGAAATAGATCTCTTCTACTTAAGAGCTATAGAGGAGGGATTGGCGGTACGATTATAGAACATCTGCCTTTGGACTTCAGAAAGAGTTCTCGCTTCGGGCTTTACATGCTTCCTAATGAAATGCTCAACACATGCTTCATAAATGCAGTCTCTTCTAGTTGGATCAGCTCGCATTTGGAGTGGTCTCTTTCAGCCACGGTAAGGACATTGTGTTTTGGGGAGGGTGTTTAGAGTTAAAATAATATGGCCTTATTTTAGCATTGCTTTAGGTGTGAGCTACACGCAGGTAGCTTTTGCACAGAACGAGTCTTGGGCCCTGTGCAATAGAACTCTCTCACACAGAGGCTCCGCTGACACGACGAAAGAGCACGTTTGTCATGTGCAGATGTTCCTTCCCAAGGCACTGACTCTACTTCTGAGCTGCTTGTGTACTTGCCAAAAACTCATGTACTGATGCTGCAATGTCCCTGTGCTCCCATGCAGCCACTGTTTTATGCTCAGGAGAGTAGGAGTGTGCTGTTTGGGTGGACAAAAGGGCTGTGTCACTTGTATGCCTGTTGAAATTCTTAATGCTCCCCTGATGGGCCCTCAATCTCTGGTGCAATTTAAAACAGAACTTTGAAGCAGAGAAATGTCATGTTTAATCTCTTGTCTCCAGCTGCCAAAAGCAGAGGGAGCTTGCTTCTCTTCCTTTTCTTGACTACTTGTGCCTGGTAATTGCTGACTGCAAGGTACTCAAAACTGTAATTTAGCTTCTGGCTGTACGTTGCCAGAACCAACACACGAAAGGGAGTATCTCAGCCTTGGTCTGTATGCCTTTCCTTTTGCTTGGTTTATATAAACGCGGCAGGAAGAAGAGAGACTCAAGCAGGCAGAGGGGCATGTTTTCCTCCAGAGTCTGACAGCAATCCCCATCTGCCTGGTGTCATCCATGCAGGCTGAGGGAAGTTATGGCCACATTTTGCTCACCCCTGCTCTAGATGTCTTTCAGGTCTTCTGGAATGTCTTATCAATTCATAAGTTCAGCCTTTCATTGTGATTTTTTAAAAACCACCACCATTTAAGAGCTTGACTTTCTATTAATGCAATATTACTAATGCCTTTAATGACATGATGGTTTATACCAAAGACTGCTTTTTGTTAAGGAATGTTTGAAGGAAAGCTCTGAATTATACTTGTCTTGGGTATTCAGAATGTGTGCTAAGCAGAAATATCTTTTATAGAATTTAATATCCTCTACATTTTATGCAATGTATGCTTTCCTGAACACTCTTCTCCACCAGGCCTAAGATGAAGCAAACTTGAATGTCAGGAACATTTTGCCACTAAAATACCTTTGTTTATAAACCAGAATTTTGTTGTATATGCTAATATTTTCAACCTTCTTTGTTCTGTTCAAACAAAATAAAAATGCATTTGTATAAAAAATATTCAGTGCAAGATTTTTATTGGAATTGAACTATTTTATCTTTGCCTATTTATGTGTTTCCCTCAAATTACCGGCAAGACTTAGCAACTGTAGAATTAGTTCAAGAGCACATGAATTATTTGGAGGTGGAAAATGTCAGAACTATGGATACGGAAGTAATCATATAGGGTATTTCCCCTCTTGTCATTCTGTTTTTGATAATGGGGCACACTGACACTCTACGAAAGGACCAGCACCTTACGTAGATTAATATAGTCTCAGGATATGCAGCTTTTGACAGATTGTCTGTTGTTATGGAGTAATGGCCTACTGATTTATTTACTAAAACTAGTCAAGTCACTTCAAGGCAGTGCAAATGTCAGCAGAAAATAAACATGCTCATTTTGAGCTCAATTGTTTCCATAAAAGAAATGTAAGTAAGAGTTTCCCACTCCATTTCTAGCTGTGCGCCAGTGCCTCTTAGTTAACACCAAAAAGACAGCAACTGAATTGTTTTAGGGGGAAAAAAAGTTCTGGTTTACTCAGTCTTCGTGCACTCACTCTTCTCCCTAGTCAGCAGTAACCTCCTTGTCATCTCTCTGTAAAGATTCAAATTGATGAAGCTTTTCACACATTGCTTCTTGAAACAAAGACTCAAATCTTGCCCCTGTAATTGATGATGTCATTTTTAATTATTATTTCAATTTCTATCCTGATGGTCTGGAGGCTCCTGTGTAATCTCTGTGGTTGTTGTGTACCTGTGGAACCAGCAGGATGGGAGGAGCAAATGTTTGCTAAAAATTGCTACCACCTGTAAAATCATCTTGGTGCTGGCAATTTCCAGTAATTAAAGACCTCTTCCTGCTGTACTTTGGACCCCCTCTCCCTCCCATGCTTCCTGGAAACCAGAGAGATTACATGGGAGGAGATAAGTTAGAAACGTTTAATTTCTGAAAGATCACCACAGCCTTATGTGGTGTAAGTTACAGAAACAGGATTTCAGCTGGGTGGCTTGCTACAGTAGGTGCAACAAGTAAAGACACGAACACGTAGTAGAGACTGTATCAACATGTTCTGTTAATTGTCCTGTTGGATTATTTGATCCAAACAATTAACTGAATGACAAGGTGACACAGGTGAGTTCCCTTTTATTTCGTTACAAATTAGCAACATAACCTTTAAATAAAGCCTGCTGCCTAAATTGAGCTACTCTTGAGGTATATGCATGGCACAAACAATTAAGTGTAAGGTGGCAAGACACTTTCAAAACGGTAACACCTGTTAAACTATGCAAAGACTTCACTTCCATACATGTTTCACCTTCAAAATTAAAGCAAGTTGTAGAAAAATCAAGGCTTGGCTACAGATTGTCTGCTGAATTTACAAGCTGATAAGGCAAACAGTTTTGATTTAAAAGGCAGCATGTTGTAAACAGTGCAGGGAAAACCTTTTCTGTATTGCTGAGGATCCCGTCTTCCAAACAGCTGAGTGCTCTGGTCCTCTGCCTTTTCCTAATCGGCCTTGGAAAAGTATTATGAAATCACCATTTCTAACAGGCTGTAAGTTCATCAGCATCCTTCAGCGCAGTCCAACGTATGGTTTGTTCTCTGTCCAGAAGTGCCTGTGTTTTATCTTGTGCTTTGGTAGTTTGCTTGGCAGTGTATGGTGTTCGCTGGTTCTGTGGACAGTTCCAGATGATCATTTCATGAACCAACTGGATAAGAAGCAAACTGTTACAGAAGATTATTCTATTTCAAAGCCACATATAAAAAATTTAATAAACTACAATTTAAGTTGAAGAGCGGCAGCGCATTGGGAATGAGTCTAATCGGAGAGGAATTGTTAGAATTGGCATCTAAGAGTAGCTGAAGTCACTAGGTCTCATTTTCCCCTCAAATGGAAAAAAAACCCACGCACACAAAAATCAAAACTTATCTGCCAGCAAGGCAGGGCTCATGTTCGCACTTGGAATTTCCCTGCTTTGGTTATGTATTTCACTCCTTTAAATGGTTTGTATTTTTCTCCATACATGTCAAGGCGGTTTACTTTCAGTCCTGAAAACAGAAATAAAATGCATGTTACAAACACTATCTGAAAACAAAACATATAAATTATTGGTAAGAGTACACAACAATCACAATGAATCTTTATGAAATATTCAGTCCCAACACAGAAATGAAGTTAAAGGCCATCTCTAAGCTCCCATCTTTGAAAGCCCAGTCAGTCATGCTCAACCCTTGGCCTTGCAAAAGTTTTGGACTTAAAACTCCCAGACGGCCAGTATCAAAGATTCCAGGAGCTGAGCTCCCAAATGTGGAGACTGAAGGCTGAGCACCACTGTTTTAGATAATGTGTTTTTAATATAACAAAGAAGAAATCAATGCCTTATTTTTTCCGCACTAGCCACAATTCGGTGGTGCCCAATCTGCTCAAGATCTATACAGGGTTGAAAGCTAGCTTATGTCTGATTTTTTTAGCAGTCTAATAAATTTATCACTCACTCTCACCATCAGAATGTGTGAAAGAACCACATGGCTTTCTTTTTTTTTTAATAAGGCTGTCTCTCATATTGGAAGTGTTCGAGATGAGAGCTGCATCTCTCTCAGCTGTGTTCCTGCTTGTTGCCCCTTCAGTTTGTCCCCCAAAATAACAATGAGAACCTTTGAGTAGTGAGAATCAGCCCTTCACTGTGTAATCCTGTCCTGTCATAGTTAGCTTGTAGCCAGGAAATGTTTTATTGTCTGTTAATATTAAAGTTATATATGTATATATATTTAAAAATGAAGAACCTTACAGGACCTAAAAACAAAAAAGAATATAAGAAATGGATGAAAGTCAGACCACAAAGGAAGCATACAGATAAGTAACAAAGAATTGCAGGAATGGTTTTAGGAAGGCAAAAGGTGAGAATGGGCTGAAGCTAGCTAGAGATGCTAAACTCAACAACAACAAAAAATATCATATACAGTGGTGCCTCGCTTGATGATGTTAATTTGTTCCAGCGAAATCGTTGTAGAGCGAAAATGTCATCAAGCGAAATTAAAAAACCCATTGAAATGCACTGAAAACCGTTCAATGCATTCCAATGGGCGAAATACCTGCTCGTCCAGCAAAGATCCTTCATACAGCGGCCATTTTCTGGTGCCTGTAATGCGAGGAATCCCTCCCTAACACAGCAGGGAGCCATTTTCTACAGCAGGTGGCCATTTTGAAACCCGACAATCAGTTGTTTGCTGATCGTCGTAAAACGAAAAATCGTCGTAAAGCGAAACAGGGCCGATCAACGTTAAGCGAAATTCCCCCATCTAAGCATCATTTTGCGATTGCAAAAGCGATTGCAAAAACTTCAGTGTTAAGCAGATTCGTTGTCAAGTGGGGTAATCGTCCAGCGGGGCACCACTGTACGTGTTTAGCAAAAGACAGAAAAAAGAAACAGTGGTTTAGCCATCTCAATGGGGATGGAAAAATGAAAACGGATGACAAGGAAAAGGCAGAAGTGCTCAATTCCTATTTTAGCTCAGTTTTTTTTCCAAAAGACAGACTATGGCCCTCCAGACGAATGTGAAATAGAAGTCGAGGAAAAGAATTGCAGCTTGAGATAATGCCTTATTACTTTCACCAAATTCAAATCTCCAGGGCTTGATAAACTGCATCCAAGAGTATTGATGGAATTGCCTGAAAAACTCTCAGAACCACTGTGTGTTATTTTATTGAAATCACAGGGGAAGTACTGGATGATAGGAGGAGTGCTAATGTTCCTATCTTCAAAAAGGAGGAACTACCGTGTTTCCCCAAAAATAAGGCAGGGTCTTATATTAATTTTTGCTCCAAAAATGCAATAGGGCTTATTTTCAGGGGATGATTTATTTTACAGTCATGCTATTTCTGGTTGCTGCACAATGGTGGAAGGCAGGGTTTCACTTAACCCGGAGCTTATTTTGGAGGTAGGGCTTATATTACGAGCATCCTGAAAAATCATACTAGGGCTTATTTTCAGGTTAGGTCTTATTTTGGGGGGAACAGGGTAGGTAACTACAGATCAGTCAGCCTGACACCAATCCCAGGGAAATTCTGGAAAATCCTAAAGCAATCACTCTGCAAGCACCTTGAAAATAATGTAGTAATGACTAGAAGCCAACACGTATTTGTAAAGAAGAAATCCTGCCAAATCTTATCTCATTTTTAATTAGTAATCTCCCTGATAATATATCTTGACTTCAGCAAAGCTTTTGACAAAGTGCCCCATCATATTTTGTTTAGCAAGCTAACTAGGGCTGGATAGAACAACTGTCAGGTAGATTCATAGTTGCTAACAGAATTGTATTCGAAGAGCACTTATCAATGGCTCCTTCTCAAACTGGGATGAGGGGAAGGGGGGGGTATCACAAGGCTCAGTCCTGGGACTAATGTTCTTCTATATTTTTATTAAGGACTTGGAAGAGAGAGTGCAGGGGATGCTTATCAAATGTGTAGATGACACAAAATTGGGTGCAGTAGGTAATACCCTGGAAGACGGAAACATTTAAAAAGGTCTTAATAGGCTTGAGCACTAAGCTGAAAACAACAGAATGAAATTCAACAGGGATAGGTGCAAAGTACTACACACAGGAAAAAGAAACTAGTACTTCACAGGATTTAGAGGCTATACTTCTGTTATGGCAGCCTAAAATAGCATTTGCCTTTTTTGTAGCCACATCACACTCTTGGCTAATATTCAACTTGTGATCTACAGTGATTCCAAGATCTTTCTCATAGTATTGCTGAGCCAGGAATCCCCCATTTTGTAAACTGTACATTTGGTTCCGCTCTATTAAGCACTTGTTAGGCCTCATCTTGAGTAGTGTGTCAATTTCTGGGCATCACACTTTAAGAAGGATGCTGACAAACTAGAACAAGTTCAGAGAAGAACAAGGATGATCAGAAGACTGGAGCTGATGAAAAAGCTCTAAGAAACAAGTTCAGAGAAGAACAACAAGGATGATCAGAAGATTGGAGGTGATGAAGAAGCTCTAAGAAACAAGCTCTGTAAAGACTGAAAGAACTGTGCATGTTTAACCTTGAGAAAAGACAACTGAGGAGAGATATAATAGCACTGTTCAAATATTTGATAGACTGTCTTACAGAGAAGGGGCAGGCTCTGTTCTTGATCATGTATCTCAGAGTGCAGCACATGTAATAAAGGGTCAAGTTATGGGAAGCCAAATTTCAGCTGCATATCAGGAAAAACTTCCTAATAGTTAGACCAGTATGACAATGGAACCAATTACCTCAGGAATGTCTCCAGTGCTGGAGGCATTAAAGAGAAAATTAGTCAACTATGTGCCAGATATACTTTGATTTCGATTCTTGCATTCAGGGGAGAGGACTGGGCTCGACGGCCTTATAGGACCCTTCCAACTCCACTACTCTATGATTCTATGAAGGGAAGACTGAGTGTAAATGTGAAAGAGGAGAAAACTGAAATATGCTGGAGAGGTTTAGCTTCACCTCAACTGGCTGGACTCAATACTCAAATCCAAGACAAAGAACATTTTGCAAAAACCTGAGGCCTCCCCCAGCCCCATAAAGAGCTCTTCTCACCGGAAATAGCCAGCTGCTGTATCTTGAACTGAATATTCAGACTAGGATTTTCTTCTGGTTTGGGAGCACCAGACTGCAAGTTCACCATTCCTTTAAGACCTGGCAGCTTCTGGGGTGTAATTTTGCCAACATCCCATGTTAACACCTGAAAAGCCAACCACCAATATTTACATAATGTTTTTTTCAAACTTCCTTTTATGCTTCACACATCTTCCCTCAGTGAACCTTTTCAGTAATCGTACAGAGAAAGTCAGCACTATTAGGGGTTGAGGGTGGATGATAAAAATATATAGTGTGGAGAAAGAGGATGGGAAGATTAAGAGAAGTTTCCCCTCTCACAGTTCTAGACTTCAGATTAATCCAATACAGTGGTGCCTCGCATTACGATGTTAATTCGTTTCAGCGAAATCGCTGTAGAACGAAAACATCGTAAAGCGATTTTAAAAAGCCCATAGAAACACATTAAAACACAATTAATGCGTTCCTATGGGCTTGAAACTCACCGTCCAGCGAAGATCAGTCCCAGAAAACAGCGGGCGGCCATTTTTTTTACCCGGCCCATTTTGAAACCGCTGATCAGCTGTGTGAAAATCTTCGTTTTGCGATAATCGGTTAGCGAAGCAGGTAACCGATCATCGCAAAGCGAAAAAACCCCATAGGAAACATCGTTTTGCGATCGCAAAAACTTCATTATGCGATTTCTTCGTTAAACAAAGCGCTCGTCTTGCGAGGCACACTGTACTTGAAGTCTTGTAGCATCCTGGTTTCACTAAGGATGCATGACAGCAGCACAAACACAGATAGTTCACCCTAGCAAAAATACTTACATAAAGGCTGCCTGCTCACTCTAAAATAAAGAAATAATGGGAGAGGGATCCTATTTGGCATATTAGAAAACATTTGGTAAAAATGCTTCTAATATTATAATGCTTCTCAATTCAAAGCAATTTAAAGTACATAAATACATGATATTTGGAGCTACAAATGGAGATAGATGAGAAATACTACCTGAATTTTTCCACTTGCATATTTTTCCTGAAATCTAGAGGGGTATATTATTCCATGCAGTGGATTCTCCATTGTTACAGCAGTTTAAGATCCTGGATGGCCACCTTGCAAGGATGCTGCAGCTCCAGGCGAAGAGCAGGACTAGATGGCACCTGAGGAACCTTTTATTTTGATTGACCTATGTCTGTTGTAACACAAGCCAAGTGAAGTCCCTGCAAGTGTAATTGCACTGGATTGCATAAACGCCTGTACTAAACTGTACTGGAATACCATCCTTTTGCCAATTCTGAAAATGCACAACTATTTGCATAGTGTCCTTGCACTAGTGCAATACTACCCCTGGAAACTAGCTTATGATTCTAGTGTATGAACAAGCAACATGAACGCTCAGTGTATTAACCTGTGTAGGTTTATTTATGCTTAGTTCTACAAAAAACTGCTGCAAGGCAGGCAACTTTTTATTAGGCAGAATCTTTCTTACAACCCTTTTCAGAGTAATTCTTCTCTCATTCTTGTAGCCAGTCATTTCAGATACATTTAAGGCCAGGGCAAAAATGGGTCCATTCAGCAATGGTAGGTGCTTGCAATGTATGGAACACCAAGCTTCAGAAGATCAGGCTGTGCATAGATTTCTGAGAGCTACTGCCTGCAGCTGTACTTCAGTTTTAACTGTGATTATCAGTACAGTATGTACTGTTTTAAAATAGATCATAATGCTCAAGTTTTACTGTGTTTCATTTCTCTCAAATATGCAAATAAATGAAAACTGATACTACATGGGAAAAATTAATACTTTCAATATAACTACTGGACAATGAAAAATGTTCCTAGGAATCCTGGCTCCATTGCCAGCAATATGGATCACTATACGCTCTGTGCAGAAGAGCTCCAAACCCCCATAAAGTTTTTCTCTCCTTAAAAATACAGTGGTGCCTCACTAGACGATGATAATCCATTCCACTGAAATCGCTGTTTAGTGAAATCATTGTCTAGTGAAAAGCATTTCCCCATTGGAATGCATTGAAACCTGTTTAATGCGTTCCAATGGGGAAGAATCGTCGTTGTCTAGCGAAGATCGGCCATAGGAAAGCCGCTTTGCAAACAGCCGATCAGCTGTTTAAATCGTTGTCTTGCAAAGCTTAGGTCCCGAAAACACGTTTTCCGAGTGCAGAGGGAGCTGTCAAAATCGTTGTCTAGCGAAAATCAGTTTGTGAAGCAGGGACCAAACTGTCCAGCGAAATTCCCCCATAGGAATGACTGTTTTGCGAATTGCTATAGCGATCACAAAAAGCCAATGTCTAGCGAAAAAACTGTCATGCGGGGTAACTGTCTAGCGAGGCACCACTGTACAATTAATAGGAAAAGCACAAACTCCAATAAGATGATGAGAAACAAAACTATGATTAGTGACATGGAACCTTCTAGCACCTGTTGCAGCTTAAACATTTAAGCAGGAGTCTTGGAGGCAAGAACAGAAAAGCAGATCATAATACTCTAGAGGAAAACGCTCTCGAAGTGAATCAATTTGTTCCTGCTATAACACCAATTCCCAGTAGTGTTCAGAGGAGCAAACACAATTCACATTTCTTGTCTGATACCTGCAAATTTCATAAACTTCAAAACTCAAGAACTAAGGTTAGAACTACACCTTCACAGTAATCTAGAGAAAAAATATTTACTATGGGTTAGATGAAAGAGGTGCAAGACTGCCTGTAACACATGCCCAAATTTAACTTAGTATGAGTGTGCATGCACACTGCTGCCATGTGCATTTTGGAGGGTTGGCACATCAATGAGGGTTCTTCCTAACAGTGTAGTTGTAGTGTTGGCAGACAATTCCTGTGAATGCATTTTGGAGGGTTGGCACATCAATGAGAGTTCTTCCTAACAGTGTAGCTGCTCACAGTATCCTATAGCAGACAAGGTAGAAGATGCTCATATCGTGAGTGAGAGAGAGTCGAGTGCTCACAGAAACTGGTGTACTGTTTCAGTGAAGATGGCAGTGATTCCCTCCAAACTGTACAGCCTCATTTCATTATAGTGGGGCAAGCCTCTAAAAACAAAACAAAAGGAACTCTGGTGAATGGGTTGTATCCTGAGAGACAGGAGTGGCATGATGGACTTACTTTGGTAACAGGATCAAATGTATAGTTGCCTTGAGAGGCTGTAAGGTTCATGTTGAGTACTGCTTTTGGCATATGAACAGTCATAATGACGCCTTCCACTGTCTTCCCCATGTTCTGTTTGGGCCCGATTGTGACGTCAAATCTTCCAGTCGAGGAATTCTCTTTGAAACTAATTGCATGTTTCACATACACTGGGATGGCCACCAAACTAGGAAAACAACAGTGTAAAAAGCTAATTGCACTCACCTATTATACAAGTAATTTCAGACAGGATGCATTCTACTTACATGGTATATATGCATGATTATGCAATGTACGACATGGGTGAAGGGTTGAAATGGTGAACTCATAGGCTCCCCTGGACCCTCAAAGAAAGCTGCCTAATACTGAGTTGGACCATTAGTTCATCTAGCTGAGTATCATCAATAATAACTAGTAGCAGCTCTCCAGGGTTTCTCCAGCCCTATCTGAAGATGCTGGCTTCCGATTCTGGGACCAGCTACGTGCAAAGCAATTGCTCTAGCACTGATCAACATATTCTCCCTCAAACGTTCAGACTTGGTTTGCAACAGAGCTGTCTCATTCCTCCATTCTTTCCTGCCAGTGAAGACCATTCCCTTCTCCTTCAGAGCTAAATGTACCTGGTGGGAGCTGTGTCAAGAGTGCTGGGCCTCTTGTTAAAATTGCCACATCAGAATTCATAGGGAATGGAGTTCCGTCTTCCAACTGTTTTTGAAGACAGGGGAAAAATACTTTTCTTGGCTCCTTGTTGTCATGGGGAGGGGGAGCAGAGGGCCTAGTGAGAGACCCTACATGAGACCCCTCTCACACCAATGCTGAGGAAAGTTGGTGCACACAAGTGGTGAGGGACAGAATAAAAAATTGAACACTTTTTTTTTTTTAAAAAAAGTCATAAGTGTCATTTTTAAAGGCACTCGCCCCCACCCCCCGGACTGAACTTTGTTATCTTCTCTCCAGTGAAACTGGCAATCTTTCCTTTCGTGGGGCAAGCGTCCTCAGACAAGCAAATGGGAAACAATGCGAGACATAATGGATTTCTGGTGGCTCTCCTTTCATGGGTAGTGGCTAGTGTTAAACTGTGGCTCAGATGCTGTGGAAGTCTGCTTTGCATAAAGAGTGCTGGGGCTGAACCCCTCACACACTTGCCTCTCAGAAGGCTTAGAATTAAATAGTTTGGAGTCTGAGGCTGAAGGAATTAAGAGACAGTTAAAAAAAAAAGCTGGCAAGATCCCTGCATGATGTGAATAGGAGCCTCTGCACTAGCACAGGGTTGACTACATTGCCCCCACAATGCTAGACTGCAATTCCCAACATTCCTCAGCATCACCTATGCTGGCAAGTGCTGATGGTAGCTGCAGTCCAACATCTGGAGGGCCACACCTTCCCCACTTCCCTCCTATAGGTCCTCTAGATGCGAGTGAAATAGTCTATATTCATTCTCCATGCACAGAGGAGCTGTCTGAAGAAAGCTCCCTTTCTGGAGCCACTTTTGAACTACAGCAGTGCAGGAGAGCACTAAGCTTGAACAGTTTGGTAACTGGGATAATCCGTGGGGGTTCAGTTTTTTCATCCTTCAAAATATTCTGGAGCATAAGGACATCCTCTTGGAGGGTGCCATTCATTTTTCCTTCCCTCTAGTGTTCTAGAAATGACACTGTGAGGATGGTAATCACTGAGGGGGACATCTTCAAATTAAAAACAAGGCCACTGGAGTGCCATGCCCATGCCATTGAAAAAAAAATATTACCAGAATACAGTAGTCTCCTCTGACATTTTACAATCACGGAGGTGGCAAATTTGGGGAGTATTTTTGGACAACAGTAGCATGAAAACTAGCCTGAGCAAACAACTGAGTGCAACAAGAAAACAGTGTTCCTTTCTCTCTGCAGAATACCTGTTGGTTTGGATTGCAAGCTTGTGGCTAGGGCTTTCCATATATCCCCCCCCAAAAAAATATAATCTTGTTTTTACTGCACACATACTATTTATTAAGGACATAAGATACTTCTTGTGAAAACTGCAGAACGCATCTATAGGCATGCTTAAACTGCTAAGCACATTCATGAGTGATACTGAAGAACAATTACACACAATTCTGACCCTTGAAGACTTACTTTTGTGAACTAACTCGATACGAAATCAATCTGAAGTTTCCATCAGGAGGAATGAAGGAGAGGACTCGTTCTGATTCCCAGCGCTTGAACCGAATACAAGGATGAAAGCTAACATCGTCCAGGAGCCTTGGGTTCTATGGAAAGAAAGTCAGGGTGATTTCACCCATCACAACATATCTTTTTAGGATCTCTTTGGTGCCTCACATGATTTTATCTCACAATATAGCTAATCACCATATTAACCAAGTGCTACTGGATCAACTTGTACTCAAAAGCTAGTTCAGCTAAACACATTAATTGGTCTTCAGTAAATCATAGTCACATGTGTCTCATGAGGTTGTTCAACAATAAAGTGAAATCCACAGCGCAATCCTATACTCACTCAGAAACAGGTCTGATAAAGTTAGAGGCCTCCACACACTTAGCTGGATATACTGTAAGATCCCCCGTCAAAACAATGGCAACAAATTCTGAGATTGACATGCGTAAGATTGCAGTACTTAATTACTAATTCACATGGATTTGTAATCTTAAGAAGTGACATCTCTCTCTTCTCATGCTTCCATAAAAACGAATAAGTACGAATACTCTTCTAACTTCTATAGCCTTAAGATCAAGAGCACAGTATCTTTAAGACCAGCTACCAGGCTGTGACTCAAGAATAACACTCTGCCCACAGTAGCTACAGCATTGGCAGTGAGTTGCGATTGAGTGATTTCAGTTCCACATTACAGCCCCTCAAGGGGATTCAGATAAATGATGGCGTTCACTCTCTACCCCCTCATCGGGAGGCATTGCTTTGATTTGAATACTAAACATAATTTTGACCACCTATAGCTATTCCATGGTGGTGTGTGTGTTTTTACTTCCTACTGCCTACCGTCTAGACTTTCTTTATCAAAAAGGTGGAATAAATCCATAAGGTTTGGACTGCAACTCTCAGAAGCCCCAGCCCACACAGCTATTGATCCATCCTGCAATAACCAAGTCATCTGTTTATCTAGGTGCTGTATGAAGAATTCTCTCCTTTTATCTACCCCCAAACTCCCACCATCCACCTTCAGATGATCATCTTGGGTTCTCATGTTGTGAAAGAGGGAAGAAAAATTCTTCCTTATTGCTTGACACCAGGGACAATTCTGAACACCTCTATCATATCTCCCTAACTTTTTAAAGAAAATAAGGTAATGGTAAAAGTAAAGGTTCCCCTTGACATTTAGTCCAGTCATGTCCAACTAGGGCGCAGTGCTCATTCCTGTTTCCAAGCCATAGAGCCAGTGTTTGTCTGAAGACAGTTTCTGTGGTCATGTGGCCAGCACGACTAGACATAGAACACTGTTACTTTCTCACCGAGGTGGTACCTATTTATCTACTCGCATTTACATGCTTTCGAATGGCTAGGTTGGCAGGAGGTGGGACAAGCGACGGGAACTCACTCCATCACGTGGATTCGATCTTACGTCTGCTGGTCTTCTGACCTTGCAGCAGAGGCTTCTGCAGTTTAACCTGCAGCGCCACCACGACCAGCATCACCCAGAAAATAGACTGCCTCAAATGTTGTAGCATTTCTTTCCAGAAGACCTGCTCCAGCTCCTTGTTCATTTCAAACTTTTCCAGTTCTATCATACCCTTTCAGAAAGGTGGTAGGAATTGCAGATATTATTCCGAGCATGACCTTCCTTCCCAAATTATTCCCACCCATAGGCCAAAATCCTATTGCCCAGTCTCAACCAGAGTAAAACCACTAGGATCAACTGCTGAATGGTCAGTCAAAAGTCATCTACAGTAAGTCCCAGCAATTCCTTAGACCTACTTTGAGAGTACCAAGTGGATTCAAGTATCGATTCCAGTTCTCACAGAATTAGGAAGAAGGCAAGGCGGTCATTCCCATTACCTTTTACAAGAGACTGGTGTATCCTTCTGAATTGCAGGCACATATGGAGGAGCAGAGAGGAATTCCTAGACATTTTTCTCTTCATTTTCCTAGATAACTCTTCTTGTTTTTAAGTTACTATCAGTTTAGGTTTCTGCCTTCTTGGCATATACTAGCTAATATTTTGTTGCTTAGCATAGTCAATTGCACTGAATCAAGGGGATCTGGTGAGTCAACTCCTCTGTAGGTTCCACTGGGCCTACTCTTAATCTTTGACTTATTTTAGTATAGTAATTCACAGTTTGGGTAGGTCCATTTAAATCAGTGGAACTTGCGGAGGAGCTGACTCACCAAATCCCTACTGATTTGGTGGGCTGACTCTAATGCAATTTATTGTGCTAAGTAACAGGATTTTGTCCCCACCTTTCATTAAGGTTCTATCTTTTCCCAATATAGTCTGGGGGAGAGGAGCCCATCTTCACCTAGGCTTGATACTTGACTGTCAGTTCAGCTCTGCAGTTCTAAAATTATTACTATCATCTTGCTGGATAGTACTGAAAACCCTCCTTTCTCTCCAGGAACAAGAATCTAGAAAAAAATAGGAAGCACTTGCATCTAGAAGTAGGCACAATCATCGATGGCTATGGCATAACATTCCCTTCCTACACGTGCGTGCATGTGCACACATACACACACAAGTAGACATGGGCATGAACCACTGGTTCAGTGGTTCGTCCCAGTTCATTTCTCAGCAAAACAGGTGTTCAGCACTTCCCAGCCCTGCTTCCTCCTGCAAGAGCCCACTCGGCAGCAGTGCCTGGAGGAGGCAGGACAGGGAAAACAGGGCACTGCCTTCAAATGGGCGCTTGCAGGAGGAAGCCGGGCTGGCAAGAATGGCTATGGCATAACATTCCCTTCCTACACGTGCGTGCATGTGCACACATACACACACAAGTAGACATGGGCATGAACCACTGGTTCAGTGGTTCGTCCCAGTTCATTTCTCAGTGAAACAAGTGTTCGGCACTTCCCAGCCCTATTTCCTCCTGCAACAGCTCACTTACGCCATAGCCATCGATTACTGCAATATAGTTGTGCAGGGCTAAGGCATTTCCGATATCACTGAACCAATGGTTCACGCCCATCTCTACTTGTGTGTATGTGTATGTAGGAAGGGAATGTTACGCCATAGCCATCAATTACTGCAATACAGTTGTGCAGGGCTAAGGCATTTTCGATACACACAATGAAACTAACTAGAAAGGGTAACTTGTAAAAACAAAAAAACAAAATAAACACCTCAAACTAACGAATAAGTTCCTTTGTGTTCATGTGCTGACTCTGCAAGCCACTTTATGACAAGGAAGAACTAAAAGTAGCCACTGACAATGTTATAGTTCCTCCGCCTGTGGAATTCTTCATGAACTTGCCATGGCTAAATTAGAAGGCTTGCTAAGAAGGGACTGACGTGGCAAAAATTATACATTAGTGGTGGTAAAATAATGTCTTTTGTTCCCTGAACATTGTGAAAATTTTGGCAAGCACTTCTAGGAATCTCTCCTTCACAATGTGATTTGCAGTAATCAACATTATATAAAGCTCAGAGAACAGAGTTCACTTTACCATGAAAGAAAGTGAAAGATCAGGCATCCCTGAGAGCTTGATGCAGGCATCAATGACCCCTTGGATTTCTGCAAAGACTGTTGAGCCTGTAGAGAGAAGGGAGAAATAACTTGGGTGTGTGGTCTTTCACAACAGATTGTGAGCAGATTAAAGGTCAGAAGAGTTATTTGCAGGAAGAAGAAGAGGATATCGCCACAATGCATTTTACAACACCTGACTTCAGGCTGTTAGCAGGGACATCCCCTGCCATGAGGGCACTGGATTTTGAACAATCACATTAGGGAATAATTAAATTGTTCTTTTTTGTTGTTCTTTATGATCATGGTGAATTAAAAAAATCAATAATCACAAATAAAGGTTGACTGATTGTATTTAATATTAATATAAAAAACAATGTATGGGTAAGCTATTTTATTAACTTATACTGTTTTAGCTATTTTGAAATGTTTTAACTGCTTCCATTTATTTTAAACTTTACATGTATGTATCCTAATGGGTCAGAGACCGCAAATAAAGATTGATTGACTGATTGAAAAATCAACATTTAAAAAAAATCAGATTGATTTAAATCTAAAAATCATTTTTATTTAAATCATCCAAAATCCAATTTTTAAAATTTAAATCAGGATTTAAATCAAATCCACTCCATTTGTGATGCTATTCAGCAACGCAAAGAATCTTCTTAATTTTAAGGTGTTTATGAAGAACTATATGGAAGGGTTAGTGGAGTGCTGAATAAGGCCCCCCAGAACTTGTATTTACCCACTACAAAAGATATTATTAAAATATATTTTGTATATAGCCTAGGAATATGGATTTGTTCAATTTCAGGGTTTTTCAAATTCTGCTACTCTAATGCTCTCTTCCATTCTTCCAGGGATAAAAAAAGTTTCGAAAGCACTTACCAGATTTATCTATAATGGCATCAATTTCTTCAATGACATCAAAGTAGGCTTCATTGTTTGTATACTTCACACCTGCTCTTCGCCATGGAATGTTTGACAGCTGACCAGTTGGAAGAGTATCACCCACATTACTGCTGCCTTGGAAATACAAGAAAAGTCTAAAGATGCTGGTAAGAAACCACTATCCTCAGGATGCAAGCAATAATGTGCAGATTTTAAAATCAGATTCCAGGAGTTACAGGCCACATAGCCTCATGTCTGATCCAGTTACATCAATGAAAAGGACTATGACAAAACAATATGATGATGTGTACAGACAAATAAATCTTGCTGTAGAACATAAACTCTGCTAAGGAAAGTCTGGCCTCAGTCCCAATTTGGAGTCAATCAAGAGGATCAAACCTATTTGGCGAATATTACATTGACTTTTGAAAGCTCTTGACAAAATCACCCAAGGATGGTTAATTGGTAAACCTGGAAGCTACAGGCTAATCACCCAACATAGCCAGCAGGGACGGCTGAGGGGCCTGACGCCGAGAAAGGCCCAGAAGGAGAAAACTAGAAACCGGGCCTTCTCGGCAGTCGCCCCTCGGCTGTGGAACACACTCCCTACTGAAATCCGGCTGGCACCCTCGCTGGGTGTTTTCAAAAGCCAATTAAAAACTTGGTTATTTAAACAGGCCCACTCCCCAGTCAATTAAGTGATTTTCTCTTTATCTTTTTTTTTTCCTTTTGTGTATCACCATCTTGGAAATCTGTTGCTTAGAACTAATAGCATAACTGCATTTTATATGTTATTTTAACCTGTTTTAACGGATGTAAGCCGCCCCGAGTAGATGTTGTCTAGAGGGGCGGGGTAAAAATCGAATAAATAAATAAATAAATAATAAGACAGGTTTTCTTATTGTTGAGCATCTGCTTAAAAAACAGGGAATCAATAAAGATCCAAAATTTCCTCCCTATCTCTCACTTTCATACATCTAAGCAAGAATTTTGAGAAGGATGAAACAACAGTGAAGCCCATGTTAATAATTAAATACAGTACAGTAGTTGCATTTAGAAGCAGTCATGGTACCTGTAATGGAGTTGACAACAGAACGCAGGATTGTGGGAGGTTTAATGAGTTCTTTTAAGATATTGGATTCTGTTGCCAGTGGAAAGCCATTGTCCAGCATTTCTTCAAGAAGCTCATACACAATAACAACATTGTCTTTAATTGCAGTCTCAGAACATTCTCCAAAGTAATCCTAAACCAAGCAAAGAATATAAAGAAAGCAAATTATTCTTCTTTGAAACTGCACCTACACCCTCAAACCAGGTTTATGAAGGAAATGTGTTATTATGTGTCATCAAAGAGTACCTCACTGATGGTAGCTGTAACACGGTGTTCAAGGTATATATTTAAAGACTACTTTTATTATTACTGCTCTGCACCGGAAATACGGCATTGTTGTTATGTGCTGTCCAGTCATCTCATTTTTGTGTCCCTTACAGGATTTTCAAGATGGGTAAGATGTTTGACGGGGAGTTTACGAATGCCACAGTTCCCCTAGTGAGTTTCCATGACCAAGCCAGAATAGGAACCCTCTGAACTTACATCTCTCCTGTGTAGACACGAATGGAGTCATGCCGTGGTGGAGGAAGCTATCGGCATGGCCCCTGACCCTCCCCACCCAGGCCAGCTTAACCCACTCACCCTCCCTCACACACCACTGGGTTCCTCCATCTCCAGCAGTGCTCCAGTCCGTGCAGGCGCTCGGGCAACCCTTCCCTGCTTCATCCAGCAGCCAACCACTCATTGGCTGCACTGGGAAAATCCTCATCCTGCCTCCTCTTCGGAGTGGTTGAAGAAGTTTTTAGTCTTTAACAACATTTTGCCTGTTTTAATTTCCCCCACCTTTAATTTTGCCAGCATGCCAATATAGCTCAGTCTCTGGAAATCACCTGAAAAAGTTCAATTACGTTTTTTAGATTTGGGTATTATTATACCCTTTCTGGCTACCCAACTTAATTTCTATTGAATTCTGGGTTTTTGCAGTTAATTAATGTTTTCCAAATAATGCTTTTTAGAAAATTGTGCAAAAATATATCTATGAGGGTTTTTTTTTTTAAAAAAACACCACAACCTACCTATGATCATTGGTTAACAACGTGAGCAAATGAGCCAGAGGTGTGTTTTTTTGGGTTAATGTATTTGCACAAAATTTGGCACATGTGAGATGCCAAAATTTGGCACATGTCAGAACTTTACATGCTGCTGGCATTCTATGTGAGTCTGATCTTAGTTTTCTCTCAGAGGTCACAGGCCTCCTCTATAGACTAACCTGGAAAGTATCTGCTACACGGTGAAGGAATTCAATGACAAAGAGTGGTGGCACTTCTGTCTGTATGACAGACACAAAGAATATTTTGTCCCGATAGATGCTGATGAGGTAGTGGTGAGGCGTGGGTATGACAGGAGGAACATTTTCAACATCAGCGGCTCGTTCCTGAGCTTCAAAGAAATAATCGCACACAGACTGGCCAACAACACTCTTCCAATGCTTCTCCAAGAATATATCACCGGAACAGTTTATAAGAAACAGACTGTGGATCATTTTCTGTTGGAGAAACAGTAATATGCATTAACAAAAAATAAACAAGCAGTTTTCGTTTTCACTTCTGCTCCAGTGTAACAATTCTTTTGAGTCATATACATGGGAATAAGTAACATATGAGACAGAGAACTGTAACAAACCCTGCATGCAGTTTGGCAGTGATCACACTGGCTATGGGACTGGGAAGCTAACTTTTTCAATGGTAAAACACATACTTCAAAATGAACCAGTTTGAATTAATCATGAATATTTATGACTAACGGTGCAATTACCTATCATTAAAAGAATAAATGAAGAACTGCTCTTTTGTAAAGCTAATGGCTCTTAACTGTCCATTCAAGACCTAACCATCCTTAATACTTTGCATTGCAACACTGCACTGTTCCTGGGAAAATCAATCTCTCTTCCAGCTTCTGTAAGCAGGACTGTATGATCGTAAGCAACTTCAAAGGGAAGAGGAAAGCCTGGGGGAGGGATGTCAGAATGGGGCTTCTACCCTGTTAACCTTAGCTCTTCTGCTTCACTGCTTCCACTACTTTTGCCAATCTGCAAGGGTGTGGTGTCATTTGCTAGATATACACAAAGTGGTTGATGCTCCCTTCCCCTCAGAGAGAATTAAAATCTTATCAAGTGATTCACTTTCATTTGATCAGCATTTAAGACTCTTAGTTATTATGACTGAGCTAGTCAGCGGTTGGAAAAGTTACTTCTTGAGACTACAGTTCCCAGAATCCCTCAGACAGCATGACTAATGGCCATGCTGGGTAGGTGGTTCTGGGAATTATAGTACAAAAGGATAGTTTTTCCAAGCTGTGCTACAGTAATCTGAGGTAGTGACAGAATCTCTTCTAACTAGGTTTCTACTTCCCTTTTCTGCATATTGGATATTCAGGAGCACACATGACATAGGTTATGTATGAATATCCAGACTGCCTGAGAAGGGTGACGGTTGAGTGCTCTCAATTGCACAATGAAGGCAGTATCTGCCCTCTGCCCAGAATAGCTAGCCACTGACTTTATTCAGACAGCACCATTAAACATGATACAGTATGACTATAGTGAATGAGCTTCATTCTCAAGGACTCACTTCTCTCCTCATTCAACTTCCAACTATTTGTTGCTCAGAATCTATAGAGCACAAAGTTGGCTGGTGCTTGGAGCTTTTCAGTGTCACACATTTCAGCATTCCAGCATCAGCAGAAGAGGTAGAAGATGATATATTTCACTCTGTCAGGTTGCAAACCTGGAGCCAATGGAAAGTTGGAATGGCGTATTAACTGTCTGGTTTATTGTTTCTGTGATGGGTTAGCAGATATCTGGCTTCCATCAACTAACTTCAAATGTTTAATGGTTTTATACTAATGGCTATGGAGCCAGAGGTTGGGAGTTCAATTCCCCACTGTTGCTTCTTGTCATGGGCTAGGTTTGATGATCCATATTGTCCCTTCCAGCTTCGTAATTCTATTATATAAGATTATATATAGAGAAACTGTTACACTATATGCATAGCATAACTGAACACTATTAAACACCACTATCCCCCAAACTGTCAATTACACTGACCAGGACAGGCAGAACCTGGTTTAGATCAACAAAACATACTGTGAGGCTCGATGCTCTGCATATTGTCTGGGTCGTTAGGTGCTCACCCAAGTCTCTCCATGGAGCCCGTTGTAAATTCTAGTCTTGCCTCTACTGTGGAGACAGGGTCAACAACATCACAACTCTTCCTCTTGCAGTGACTGGCTGCCAAGAACCTCTGCATTCTTCCCTGTCTCCCCCTCTTTAAATTATTCCCGTATTTTACATTTTGCTATGGCTAAAAAAACAGGCAACAGAAGAGAGTTGAGTAGATCAAAAGATAATAATCTACAGTAATCCTTTTCTTTCCTTACAATCTTAACCTTAGAGGGAACAAATCGTATTATTTCTATGGGCTCAGATCCATCAGGAACTTGCATGCAAATGTCAGGCAAAGTCTTCCTCAAACTCCTCTCTCCCCATCCCCAAAACATACAAAATAGGGAAAGACTCCTGTAGCCAGGACAACGGGGAACACCAGCCAGTATTTCAGTATGCCAAGAAAAGAAACAACAGAAGGCCATTTAAAAAAAATGGGATGCCTACTTCTTTTCTACAGGAATTACTGTATCAATCTGACAACTCTGCCTAGAGTCATGGATCAGGAAAAGAGGCATATTAATGGCAGGCTGCATCTGAAACAAAACTTTCACAGAGGCAGCTGTATTTGAACACTCTTGCCCACAGATGGTCACCCGTGGCTTGCTCATTCATTCATTCATTCATTCATTCATTCATTCATTCATTCATTCATTCATTCATTCATTCATTCCTATGCCACCTTTCTCCCCAAAAGGGCCCAAGGCGCCTTACATCATTAAAGCAGTATTTCAACACTTAAACAGTAAGTACACAAATATTTTTAAAAGAATTAAACAAATAGTATATTACAACGGTAACTAAAATACTGTACCATTAAAACAACAGAGCAAGCACAACAGTCCACTTAAAACCCTTCCCAAACAACCAGTCACCATTTCCGGGGTTCCGGCTATGAACCACCCAGGGCTCGTGTCTGAGCAGCTGACTGAAAAGAGCGTCTCATCCTGGTTTTCGTTTTCGTCCATCTTGCTCCCCACCTCCTTACTGTGGTTGTTTAGTCGTGTCCGACTCCCCGTGACCCCCATGGACCAGAGCAGGCCAGGCCCTCCTCCTGTCTTCCACCGCCCTCCCTCCCTCCCTGCTCTTGTGGCCAAAAGTTCAGCCTCTCCAGTTCCTCAGGGCGGGGGACCCGCCTTCCCAAGGCACGGCGCGGGCCAGAGATAGTATTCCCAGCCTTCCTGCCACCCCTCCTCACGGGGAGAACCGGCTCTGACGCCGGTTTCCCTCAGCCATCCCCCACAGCATTCAGCCACGCGGGCTTCTTGGGAGGAAGCGTGGCCTCCAGAGCCGCAGCCCTTGCAAGAAGGCGAGAAGGCCCAGGGCCACCGGACTCGCGTGGCGGCAGAGCGAAAAGTTGCTGCCTTTGGGGCGGGGGGGGGAGGGAAGAGAGCGTGCTCCCTGTCGGTCCCGCTTCCCCGGACTCACCCTCTCAGCGAGCACCCCACTCGAGGCGGACAAGAGGGGAGGCGGCCAGGCTCCGCAGCAACCCAGGAAAAGCACCACCAGCAGCAGCAGCAACAACAGTGCTGTAGTTCGTGCTGGGAAAAGATGGCCGCAAAGCCCTCCCGCGCTCCAGCCCGCCCCCAGCCCCACCCAGCAGGGCGCCTCGGCGAAGTGCCTGCTGAGCCAGGCGTCGGCCGTGGCCGGGAGAAGGGGACCGGGGCGCAGTCCCTTCCACCCCCTTAGGAAGGCTGCCCACAAGCCCCGGAGGCTTCTCGTCGGCAGGGAGGGAGGCACACCAGCGATTGGAGCTTGGTTGCCTTCTGTCGCCGCAGCGTGTGTGCATGCGCGTGGGAGACCATTAATTCCATTGCACAAGTTGTTCGGGGAAAAAAACAACATACACACCTTTGAATCCTAATTTTTGCAACAAGATCAAAAGGCACTCTTTCAAACAAAACGCGAGGCCTTCCCTTTCAGCCACTACTCTTACTCTCCTGACTGACCGACGCCCTTCGCCGATCAGGCACTCCTCCAAGCCTACCCTGCTTGCTTTCGCCTCGCCCCTCCCCGCTTTCCGCCCGCCCTCTGCCGGCAACCCTGAGAGGAACTCGTCGGCAACTCTTGCGGAGGGAGGGGAGGGGAGGGGGGAAGGGAAAACGTAGCAGCCCGGCGCTGGGGGGGCAGAGACGGTCGCGGCACGGAGCATGAAGATGGCAGCGGAGGAGCCTCAGGCCAAAAAGCAAAAGCTGGAAGAACACGTTCGGCTTAGGTAAATAAAGGGAAGGAGGAGGAAGCGGCCGGTTTCGGTTTCTCCCCGCGACTGGGTTTGGGGAAATACAAGGGAGGGGGTTAACATTGCTTTCTCCAGGGAGGCGGGGCGCTTGCAGCCGGTATGCAGTCGGGGCACCGGAGCGGTTCCGAGCGCGCGGGCCGGTCTTGTCTCGTTGCCCGGGGTCGGGCTGGAGGCGCGAGATTGCCTGGCCACGAGATACCAGGAGGCACGCGCGCGTGTCAGGGTGACTTTCCTCTCTGCCGCGGGACTGACGGGGCTTCCTTCCAGGCGGTGGAGCCCACCGGCAGAGGTTGGATGATGAGTGGGCCACTAGCGGCCGTGTCTCGTCCGGGGGCGCCTTGTCCCTCCCCATCATTGCAGAAGAGAAATGCCAGGAGCTGTCGGTGGGACAGGCCGGGAAAGGCAGCCTTGCTCCGCTCACTTGGGATGTGTGTGTGTGTCGGGTGGCAGGGCTTAACCGTCCGAGCGGGGGTGTGTGTGTGTCCCTTTTCTTGAGTTTCTTGTCGTGCCCTACCCGTGGACATTGGTGTGTGTGTGAAAGGGCCGCTCGCAGAGTGTCGAAGGGGAGCCGCGGCGTGTGGCGTCCCTCGGCTTTTCCGGGACCGAGCCGGCCGCGCGCGGGTCATGCCTTCCTCCTCGCTCCACGTGGCCGAAGGTCGCAGGCGAGTGGGGTCTGCTCAGGGAAAGAGACAGGTGGCCGCGGGGGCCGAAGGAAGAGGACGAGACAACGGCGGCGAAGAAGAGGGAAGAACGTAGGAAGGATTCAAGGGTTGAGACAGGGTTGTTGCAGGCTTTCCCGGGCGGGAAATAGTGTTCAACGGACAGAGATCTGTGGCGATTTTAGCCAGAGAAGTTGGCGCCTGGAAGGCCCCGGAAATCACATCGCGAAAGTACCCGGTGCCTGCAATGTGCACTTGTTGCCAGGGCCTTAAGTACTTACACTTGTCTGCCAGACCTGCAGGAGGGGGAGACTGGGGCCTTTCTGATGTTCTTGGGTTGCAGCTCCCACCCCACTCCAGTACACTTTGCTGTCAGCGGCTGGTTGACAGTTGCAGTCCATGGTCCTGACACTATCATGTGAAACAGCCTTTGGTATTTCTGACAAGTATACCTGTATGGAAAAGTGTTCAGGTTTGCATTACATACAGCACATTAGGTGTAGATAGAATCATGCATGCCTGAAAACTTATTTCATGGGCGTCTGAAAGTCTGTTTCAAGGACTTTGTCAAGATTAGGAATATGCCTAGATAGTGGAAAGGTTAAGAAAGTCAGAGTTACTTGTTCTGGAAGAAACTGCATTCTTTTATATATATTAGCTGGAGGCATTACGGAGATCAAGGAATGAAGGACAGTCAGAACTACGAACTTCAGACACTATTGTACTGTACTTTGGTAGCCAGGAAGGCATTTCAGTAACATTTCAATATCCAAATGGTTAGCAACAAATCCCCAGGGATTTGGTCAAATCAGGGGAAATTACTGCTTAAAAACGTTGAATCAATTTGTCTCTTCATTTCTAATTGGTGCAGTGATCCACATACAGAAACCAAAAGAAAAAAAGAAAGAAAAGGATGGTTAACAGGCCCTCAAATTCAACTCAGATCATTATAGTGTATGTTGTAATCCTGTACACACTTGTTTGGAAGTTAGCACCATTAAATACAGATGGATTTCAGAGTCAGACTGTGTAGGATTGTGCTGTTAATCGCCATCTCAGTTTTGCTTTTTGACTTTTCCACACAGCAGAGGTTAACCTTTGTGTACAATAAACACATGGCAGGAAACTGCAAACACTCCTCATCCCATGGAAGTATTCACAGTCAAGTATGCAAATTGTCTATGCCTGTACAGATATACAGTGGTGCCTTGAGTGGCGAACTTAATTCGTTCTGGGATGATGGTTATAACTCAAGTTGGTTGTAACTCAAAGCACTGTTTCCCATAGGAATACATTGAAACATGATTAATCCGTTCCAGCCATTTTTAAAGGCTAAAATAGTGGATAGGCTGCAGTCAGTGCAATCAGGATGTTCGCCATGGAGGGCTGGAGCCTGCTGCAATCCACCATGTTTACGTTCATTGTTTGTGCAAAGGCTGTACTATAAATAAGTCCTACAGTAAATTAGGGCTTAAAGCAATTTTACATTAGCATTGCATATTTTGCTGTTGTCATCTGCTGTTGAGTGGCGGGCAGGGGGGCAAAAACAAAAGAGAGCTACTAGTTGCTGACTTCTGGTTTTGGCTTTTTAGTTTGAGTTCATTTATTAAGGCTTAGGGAGCCTCTGATTTTCCATGGAGCAAAAGACACTGCTCCTGGATGCATCCTGGATCAGAAAAGGTTAATCACCACTATTTGGAAGGAGGTTTATCGGTGGCATGGGGAGTCATAAGGGCCTCAAAAATGCTCTTAGGAGAGTTACATACAACCTGCAAGTCACATATTGGCCATCCATGCCTTACAGTATAATTTGATTTAACATGCTTTAACCACACTAAGCAATAGGATTTCAGCAGCTGTGTGTTAAGTGTGATCATGATTTAATGTAACATAAATTTGACTCTTAAGTGTTAAGGTACTTTTTCATAAATACAGACATTAGTATATGAGGCTATATTGCACAGCTTTTCAAAATTTAATTAAGTAGCCTGAGAATTGTAATAAATACTTGGCTGAAGTCCTATTATACATGTTTATGCCACAGAAGTAGGATGACGCCATTAGTCTGGAACAGTAATATTTGATTTAAATTCATTGAAAGCTCCAATCTCTCTGACCTTTCGGGTTCTGAGGTTCCCTAGGATTCCCTTTTGCCCTGGGAGATCCTTAAGGAACCTTCAGACGTGGTGGTGGTGGTGGTGGTGGGGAGAGTCCTTACAGTATAATTTGATTTAACATGCTTGACATATTTCCAGATAAAACTTTTTCAAGTCCACATAGGTTATTAGAACTGTAATATATAATTTAGTGGCACCAGAGTGTTAGACTAGAACTGGAGAGACCTATGTTTCAGTCTCCATGTGGCCAGTCTCTGACCTTGGGGTGGTCACTCTCTTATCTTTACCTTCCCACAAAGATACTTAGCATGTCTGCAGTCTTTTTGCCTTGTAAATCTAAAACATACTGGTGGGCCACACAGAATTTTAACAAGACAGCAAGTGTAATATGGCGAGAATATAAGCTTCCAAAGTCCTTTAACAGCCAAACATTGCCACTGGATTGACATCTCTGGGATTGGGACCCAGCAGTACTGAAGCTGTTTAAGGCTCCCTCTCCCTGCATCCTGAGGCTCCCATAAAACATCCCCAGGACAAAGGGGAGAAATACTCAGAATCTGAGGGGGGCATATGTAGCCCCTAGGCCCACACTATGGTATATATGTGGGATGGAACCTTTCTTCTGCTCAAATAGTTGTACGATTTGTATAACATGTTTTTGTAAAATGTTGATTATGCAAGCAAGCTCTGTCTGTTAGTCTCCATTTATACTGGCATAGCCTAGATTCCCCCTTGCTTTGCATTTCATAGAATTATTTGCATGTTGTTCAATTTATACAAGTCTGGAAAAGGAGATCAATATATATTAAATATTTATGTATTTACAGTATTTATTTAATTTATATGCCGCCCACACTAACCAAAGGTCTCTGGGCGGCTTACAATATTTAAAATACAATAAAAATTCATATAAGCAGTTAACATGTATTCTTACTGCTTTTTAATAAAAGCACAACTAATCTTGTCTGCAGATATATGCCACAATAAAATCTGTGCAAGTAGTTGGCTATACGGGTGTCTGTAACTAATAAGTCTCACAGCTGAGGCTCCCGACATGCCTATTTTGTTTAAGTTCTTTTTTTCACCACATCCTAAATACAGTATGAGGTAATGGTCAATATGGGAACTACATTTTGAAAAAGAAAAGAATCACTACAAAATGATTTCTTGCTTAGTATAATTTGTAGATTAAAAGGTTTTAATGATTTATCATTGACTTCCTGCCCAACATGCAGTGTACTATGAATGAGAGGCAGCCCCTTTCTGATTGTGCTGTGCTCCCAAGACAGACAGTTGTCTTCACTGAGCTGGGCAGACCAATCAAGCTTCCTCAGTGCTGTAATATTATCATGTCATCTATTGCTTCTTGGCCTTTTGGCTAAGGTCAAGTGTGCGGTGTTCTTATGTGCCATCAAGTTGCTTTCAACTTATGGTGATCCTAATAGAGTTTATGAGTTATGTGAGATGTCCAAGGAATGGTGCACACCATTGCCACACACCCACTGAGTTTCCATAATGGTGTGGGGATTTGAACCCGGGTCTCTTGAGCCCTAGTC